TTGATTTTAAGATATTTTATTTATATAGTAGTCTCACACATAGATATATATTTATAATAGATTAGTAGCTGGAGTTCTATATTATTCCTAAAAAAAAAAATTTAAGTGCTCTCAAATTGAAATTTTTGATAATATATTTTTGGGCTTGGGCCCAATTGGCAAATTTGGGCTCGAATCGAAACTATATTATATTCACAGTCCATACAGTCAAAATTTTTGATTTTTAATTTAATAAAAATTCAAAAGTTTCGAAAATAAAAATTCGGGTATTTCATTTTCATTTTGAAAATTCACTTTAGTTTTGATTAATTCGGTGTGGTTTCAAATTAAGGTGATAGTGTATGTTCACTTACCGAAAAAATACTTTTAAAAGTTTTAACCCTCATTTTATTCAGTAAAACCACTTGATTAAAGATTGTGAAGCAAAATTTCTTTATAATATCATATAATGATTTTCTTATTTGGCCAAACATGTAAAAAATTAAAATTTTTGTAATTATTCACAAGTTCTATGAAATATTAACAATTTTATTTTTCATTTTTCTCAAACTATAGTTCTACTTCATTTTTTCAGAAGAAAATAATTTTTAGATTTTTTTGTTCTATCCCTATTAAATGTGCATTTATATAAATTTTGATAAGCTTTTAAAATAATTTAGTATGAGTCATTTAATTATAATAAAATAATATACATAACTTAATAATTAATATAATGGTATATTAATAAAAATATTATAACCATACTAATAATTAACAAATATGATTTATATATTTATTTATGAAAAAATAGAGTCAATTATCATTTTCAAAATCATTCTATATACATATATTGATCTAATAATGAAGGATCTGGAAGTATTATAGACCTATGTATAAAGTGCATTGATAGTGATATGGGACAATAATATGGAACTTTTATACATTGATAGAGATTCATGTACAGAGATACTTGAATAAAAACAAACATGAATATGGACCTTGTTGAAATCCTTGTACGTAGATGTGTTAAATGAACATGAATTTATTCTTTTTTTTTTTTTTTTTGTTTGAAAGGAAATTTAAGGTTGCTTTGCATAAAATCCACAGCAAGACATTGATAATCTGCCAAATATATGTAAAAGTTCTTGTTGAACAGAGAAATAATTTAGAAGAAAGGGTTGCTAGAAGAACTAGAAACAATGCATCCATTGCATTTATATATTGTTATTTTGGAATTCTTAATTCGTATTCAGAAATCATATAATATATAGATATAATATGATTAGTTTGAAGAGAGGGGGCCATGAATTTTGTTTTATGGTTTTGGTTAGGTTTTATTTGTGGAATAGGCTATAACGACCGACTGGCTTGATTTCAGTCAATTTGGTTCAGTTTTTTAGTTAAATCGATTTCTTTTAATAAAAATTATGAATTCAGTTTTATCAATAAAATCAAATTATTTCAGTTTGGTTCAATTTTTGTACTATTTTTTTTTTTTATCAGGGTAATTTAATCTATTTCGGTTCAACTAAATGCTCATTTATACTTTCAAATTTTTTAAAAAATGAATTTTTCTATACACATCACCTTTTCATTCTTTAAGAAATCGTTGGGTCGGCCATAAAGCAGACAAGTTTGAAGCTTGCAAATGTACCTTTCAACATAAGATACCATTTCATCTCTTGAAAACAAAAGCAAAACTAGTAAAAGCCTTCCCGTTTTCCTGCTTTCTTTCCATATTCTTTGGCTTCTGCTCCGATGAGATGCTCTTAATATTGTTATAAATAAATCAAAGAACAACGAAGCAGAACATGCCACCATTATATATTACTTGGCACTCTGCAACTGCTCTAACAAGAAATGGCCAACTCGTCTGTCATAATATTGCTTCCTTTCTTTTCTGCTAAATCTTAATTTCTTTATCCTGTCTGCCAGTTGTGATGCAAAACTTTTTCGTGAGAAGCTCTAGTACCTTTCTTTCTTTCTTTAACTAAAACATGTCCCAATCTCCATTTTGTTTTTTCCCAATTTGAACCGTCAAAGTATTCTTGAGCTGTACCTTATGCATCAATCAACACAAATTAATTAATCTCCTCTCGTACAGTAGATCGTGAGAGAAAAGTGTTTCTAATTTTTACCGTTCATTATCTAATATATTATTAATATTATTAACAAGATGACTCTCTAATCTATTAGGTTCAGACCAAATTTTATTCACACTAGATCGACCCATTAATAGGTATAACGTTCAGTGAATATTTGCTCACCGCATTAGATTATATTTAATTGGCTTATTAAGAATAAAGTGCTTAATTAATAAATATTTACTTTGTATATGAGGATGGGATCAAACTTTAAACCTCATTAGGATATAAGAATATTGAACCTCTCGTCTCATTAGCCATGCGTGAACTTCATTTTCACTTTTAACACATGCTTCAACTATAACATAAAAATGGGAAAATTTTCTTGTAGTTTGACTTTTCACCCTTTTGAAGTCAGACTATATATACAACTATAACATAAAAGTGGAATATTTTCTTGTAGGGTGATTTTCACCCTTTTTTTTGAAGTTCAGGACTATTAATATATATAATATATATATATAATATAAGTGAAAAAAATTGATATTTCCCAGAAATACAAAATCATGTATAGAATACACGACATTCTCAAAAAAAAAAAAAAAAAAAAAAAAAAAAAAAAAAATACACGACCAACGGCATATTGATGTATATATATGCTCGGTTTCTTATTTGGAAATAATTTCACTGAAAAAGTTTAACTAATTAGCTTAGTTTTCAGACAACTCAGTAGATTCCCGACTAGAAGATAAAATTTGTTTTCTCACCTTTATGAGGACTGAAGTAGCTTAATTACTATTCCAATCAGCACCATATGTTAACGTCTATCAATTAAGATAATTGAGTTTAATTATCATTTTCGAGAAGGTTGCACGAAGTGATCTAATAATGAAGGATATGGAACTATTATAGACCTGTATATAAAGTGCGTTGACAGTGATCTGTGACATTAACGTGGAATATTAGTGCATCGATGGAGATTCACTTGAATGAAAACAAACATATACGAATATATGGACCGTTCTGGAATCACTGTAGAATTGCAGACAAGTTTAAATGAACTTTCTTTGTAAATGATGATGTCTAAGCAGACAAAAAAAATGACAGGTTGCATTTGCATATGTGACTTTCTTATTTGCTGATCGAAAAAAAAAAAAAAAAAAAAAAAAAAAAAAAAAAAAAAAAAACAAGTAAAATTCTTTCCCAGTTTTCCTTCTTTCTTTCCTAGTTTTCTGGCTTCTGATCAGATGAGATGCTGTCACTGTAAATAAATAAAAGAAAAACGAAGCAGAACATGTCACCATAGTACGACTTGGTACTGAGCAAATTGCTCTAAATTTGCCTTCACATGATCAACTAGTCAATCCCAAACTGCTAAATTATCCTCAGATCATGGAAACCAGAAGAAGTTATTGCTTTTCCTATAACCTGTCAATGGAAATCATGTGCCAGGAATATATATATATAATCTTCTGAAAAAACCAGCGTGAAAAACCGGTCAAAGACTGAAACTTGCAGACAGATAAAAGGATGAAAATGAGACAGAGAAAGAGAGGTTGTTGTTATATGAAAAATTTTGCTAGATTATAGAGAAAGATAGGAAAGGTTAATTTCTTGGATGGTTTTTAGAAAATCAAGAGGCAAGCTTTGGGAGTATTAGCAGTTTTCAGATTGAATAAAAACGCCAGAGAAAAGAAGTATGGGTTCAGTCAGCAGGTTTTTCTTCGTCCAACACCCGTTCACCCTATTAGCTCCAAACTCTATAGTCTTTATTTTTCATTGTATATATATATACATTACATACTAATATATATATATATATATATATATATATATATATAATATATATTAGTTTATAGTTTATTTGTTTTTTTCATACTGTTAGATATATATAGTTTTATAGTTATTTGTTTTTTTTTCATTTACGTTAGCTTTGTATTTATCTATTTATATTAACAATAAGACTAAATTACTATTTAAGCATTGAGTTATTATGAATTTTTTACTTAACATTTTTATTAAAAAGACACTACATTTCTATTCCATTAAACTTATTAGTTCTAAAATTTTCATAAATTTCTTTTAAACAATCCATAAAAAAAACTCAAATAAACTTATAAAATTATGAAAAAAAATTTTCTAAATTGCCCTAAAACAAGTAACAATATTTTGTTTTTATGCTGTAAAATTGTCATAAAATAAAAATTCAATATATCATGAATATACAGTTTTTATTTTTGCAATTTTATTTTGTTAAAGAGACTTATTGCTCTATTGGGCAAACTTGCATTTCTATATTTAAGTATATCATTTTTCTCATGTACTTATTCGACATGGGATTTGACTAAAATTATTACATACATCCCCAATTGAATTAAGTTTATATATTTAATGAAGAAGTAATAGAATTAATGCAATAATAATAAAATCAAAACATATATCTTTTGGTACTACCAAAGTATCCTCCCACCTATGGTAGTTGGTGATAGATTTTGTCATGTTGAAAGTTCTTTAGTTCTTTACAAGATACCGACTTTATTAAAAATATAATATAAAATCAAAAATATTTTTAATATAATACTTACACTAAAAATATGATTATTCAATGTATAATAGATAAACCAATAATATTTAATGAAAAAAACATCACAAGCTTTTAATTATTTTAAATAATATGGAGTTACTTCCTAATAATTTAAATGTTTCATGTCCAACGATTAGGTTAATAAATGTTTGATAAACTTTTTAATTAGTGATTTATAACTGATAATAATCACAATCAGCTACATTTTAGAGTTTTTTCTTAACAGACTTTGTTAATCTCGTAAAAATAATTGCTAATAATATTTTAACAAATACGAAATAAATAATCAGGTGACCGCTGTTGGCTATCAGCCCGTGATAGCTGGTATAAACCCGTGAAACAAACGTTCTCTTAGTGATAATACTTTCAGGGCAAGCGCATTGTAAATGGGAAGCGGACACGTGAACAGAAGAAGCACCATCAACCGCCATAACCGTTAAATTTCGCGGGTCAGATCTGTCACAAAAATTCCCTAGCCATCAAAGATTCCCCTCCACGTTGTTTGTACGCGACTCAGGTCTCTCTCTCTCTCTCGCTACACAGCACTGGAACGCCTTTCACATTGAAGTCAGAGAGACTCTCCATTTTGCAATGGAGTCTCACAATCTGGTCAATGGCGTCGCTACCAATGCACCATCTGCTACTAATCATGATGGCAATATTAGATCGGCTCTCATATTTCTCGGTACTGGTTGCTCCAGCGCTGTCCCCAACGCAATGTGCCTTATACAGCCCTCTGATCCTCCTTGCCATGTTTGTTCTCAGGCGCTCTCGGTTCCACCGGAGCAAAACCCTAATTACAGGTTCGATTTTCCTATTTTAATTGCTGTAGTTTCAATCAGGAATGTTTTTTTGTCCTGTGTTTGGTTGTTGAGAAAATTTAATTAATATAGATCATATTATTTTTTTTATGCAAATTAAACATTTGGATATTCATTTATTTATCTTCTTACTATTATTTTTTAATTTTTTTAATATTTGTAGGTGTAATACATCTCTGCTTATAGATTATTGCCAGAGTGATGAGAGACATAGCTATATATTGATTGATGTTGGGAAGACGTTCAGGGAGCAAGTACTTAGGTGGTTTACTTTCCACAAGATCCCTCGTGTGGATTCTGTGAGTCGTCTTTCTTCTTCATTGCACTCTTTGTTAATTATTTACACATCAACCAAAACGTTCTTGTTCTCTCATTAATGATTCATACATCAAGCAAAACTCTCTTCTACGCTGATGAATTCTTATGTTGGTTAGATAGAGTAGTCGTACAAGTTTTTATTTTATAAAAAAATTGGATTGATTTGAAAAGATTTTGTCTTTTGGTCTTGTTATAAGATTGGGTTGAGTTCAAGTTATGGAGGAAGATAAAGACTAATGAGAATGTCGATATGAGTAGCAATGTTAGTTAACTTTGTTATTGTCATAGAATTTGGTCCTAGATGGAGAAGGATTTAGAAGGAATAAAAGTTGTGGCATCTCTAAGCGGCTAGTTTTTCAAGCCTTCATTTAGTTTATTCCAGCCTTTTACTTTTAGAATTTCATAAATTGAATGGTTTGTTTGAACATTTTTGCAAATTCCAATATGCGAGTCTGTATGTAAAGCGCAAACTGTGATCTCTGCTATTGAAATTCGCACAATATGATTTTTCCTAGGTTGGAATGAAGAATATTAAGGGAAAACTTAGCAATGGGAAGCTCACCAAAAGTAGTTGGTTGCTTGGGTAGCCATGGTTGGCAAGATGAGCAAGCAATAAAATGGAAAAGAAAAAAAAATCAACCTCATAAGATTGTCAACTCTCTGCATTAATTATAATACACTATCAATCTTTTACGTATGTATGTATCGACACAAGCATACCCCTACATGTTGATAGCTTGCCTTTTTGAGAAATTCAAACATCCTTGAGTTGCCGCCTTCTGTAATTTCCATGCCAGATTTCTTTTCTTTTCATTATGAGCAACGGGGGGAATACTTTGTAAGAATATGAAATCAAACCGTAGGTGTTCATAATCTCCCATGATATCATAAAATTTAAGGGGACTTTATTTCACGTGGTCTTGGATTTGTGATACATCCTAACATATTAGTATTTCTCATTTCGCTTCATGACTGGGCTGCCTCCTTCAGGTAGTATTAGTAATAAATTTTTTTATTACTTGCAGATTATTTTGACTCATGAACATGCTGATGCAGTTCTTGGTCTTGATGATATACGTGCTGTGCAACCGTTTAGTCCTACAAATGACATTGATCCAACTGCCATTCACCTAAGTCAATCTGCCATGGATAGGTAATTTTCTTTCCTTTTCAGCTATATGCATACAGCTTTCAACAATCTGCCCAATCTCTATTTAAACTCTTTGATTGTGAGAATATGCATTTGTAGTGTGTAATAATTATGGCCGTGTGATGCTTGATCTGCTTATTATTTTGTGGTGATGAGATCTGCAATCATAAACTTAGGACCCTTTTGTTTCACCAAAGAAAAAAAAAAAAAAAAATTCCCAGGTAACAGTCACTGTAATAGTCAGTTCTGTTGAACATACATATTTAACAACTGGAATCTGAGTTGATTTATATGAGGCCATTAATTAAAGCTTGAAGTTCCTTGGATCTCCAGCTTTACTTTATGTATTTAATTGTTTCACGGGTCAGTACGAATAACTCACACGATCTAAATATCAGCTTTATGGCTGAATTATAAAGATACTGTCAGATCTCTGCTGGTTTGCTGATAATCATCAGATTATGGAGAACAAGGAATCCTTATCATACGTTGAACTCTCAAACATAGAACTTTTGTCTTTAGAATTCATGCATTTTTTTTTTTTAATTTACTGTTGCTTTTTGAATTGTCAAATGTGATCCAACTCATAACACTGCATTGATATCTGCTAAAACTTTTGAAAACAGCATTGCAGTGAAATTTCCTTACCTGATAAAGAAAAAATTAAGGGAAGGTCAAGAAATAAGACGGGTAGCACAGTTGGATTGGCAGATAATTGAGGAAGACTGTCAGAGACCATTTGTTGCATCAAGCCTGCAATTTGTTGCTTTGCCAGTTAATTAGTTTCCTTAAACTTCTCTTGAAGACATTGTCTATATTTATACACACGGAGAGACAAGCAGATGGTTCATACACATGCCCTTGTTTCTTATGTTTGTTTCATAATGCAGGTGATGCATGGAGAAGATTATGTTTCTTTGGGTTTTCTCTTTGGTGAAAAAAGTAGAGTAGCTTATATATCTGATGTTTCACGTTTCCCTGCAAGTACAGAGTACGGTGAGTCTTAATCTGTTCATCTTTCTGATGATAATTAATTTTTATGCATATTTTATCCAATTTCCATCTTTTCTGAGATTTTTAATTCCTGTGAAATGAACAAAGATTCTTTTCTCATGTAGAAAGAGATTTGCTGTTGTTTTTGTATAAGATGGAGGACTGTTTTATGGATTCATATCACATTTTTTATAATTTTTTTTCCCTTTCATTTAATAAATCTTTCTTTCGGCAGTGATTTCAAAAGCTGGGGCTGGGCAGTTGGATCTTCTTATCTTAGACACATTGTACAAGGTGAGTCAACAAAATTATGTTTACTTGTACTTCCTGAATTGACCCTCAATTGTTTCAAAGGAAAGAAGATCTATTAGCAGCATAATGATTAGGGGTTCCCATATGCTGATTCATCCACATGTACCCATGCTAACAAAATTTCAGCAGAATATGCATGAGTTACCTGGAAATGAGCATGTATTGAATTATTGACATGTTTCGCACAGATATATAAACATGAATTCTCTAATAAGCTCTAATAAGGCGAGCCATTAGCTATAGGTCTCACTTCCTCACACTAGTGGACTATTCCATTTTAGCCTTCTTTCCGATACTCTAGATTAACTTAAATTTTTGAAATTAAAACTTGTGGAAAAAAAGCTGTCGTTCTAAGGGAAAAACCAGCGCAATTCTCTCAAATAAATAAATTAATGGACCATTCACCTGGAATGTTAGCATTTATTTATGAGACAAAAGCTGTCATTCAAATCCATTGCATTTTATGCACCTTCTAATTTTTGCAAGGAATCATTATGATTGGTTGATATGTTTTGAATAAAGGAACTAAAGCTTAAATAGAATTTAAGGATGACATAGTTGGTTTTTCAGGTAGGCCTTTCTCTTGTATAAATACCATCTTTTGATCAATGAATTTGGCGGTGTATAATGCATGGGCCCTTTTACACTTTGAGAAACCTCCTTTTTTCTGTCCTCCCCCTTATGCCGCTGACAACACATGATTAGGCAATCTTCTGTTGCCATTCTGCTTTTCTATATGTATATAATTTCCTTGAATCACTGAACTTCTGCTTGCCTTTACTCTGCAGCGTGGCTCCCATAATACCCACTTCTGCTTTCCTCAGGTTTGTTTCTATTTGTCCATTGTCTTTCATCTTTGGAATGTACTGTCACTCATTCTGCTAATATGCAGACCCTTGAAGCTGTGAAGAGATTATGTCCCAAGCGAGCTCTTTTAATTGGAATGACTCATGAGTTTGATCATCACGAGGACAATGATTTCCTAATGGAATGGTCTAAAAGGTATGTACTTTTCTCGACTTGATGATCTTGCTCTCATTGACAGAGTGCATTTTCATTGACGCTGTTCATGTTTTGGCTGTGGGCAGAGTGCAATAGATCATATCAGTATAGTTTAAGGATTTAATATTGTGTTTTATTTCATCAGAATTCTTCTTCTTTTTATCATTGTTACCTTTGTCATTGTTTGCATGTAGGGAAGGAATACCGGTGCAGCTTGCACATGATGGTATGAGAGTTCCTATAGACTTATAGTAAGGTAAACCCAACTCTTGTTATGGAAATATATACATCTAATCTTCAGAACTTCATCAGCTTGGTAAATCTATGGAGGGGTATTATAAGGATTTTGTTGGGGGATGGCCTTGAATTGCCATTGTGAGGCCCTACCCCTATGGTTTAGGTGGCTACCGGGCTAGCACTTCTTGATTTTAGCGTTTCTGCAATCGCATGCTAATTTTTGGAATTAATGATACTAACATTTATATGCAGGTTGCGGTATTATTCTTCACACTAATCATAAGGTGTGTTCCATAATTTCCATCAAGGTGAAATTATTTATATAGCTTGAGCAGAGATCAGTTGAATAGTTAAAACATTTTATTTTTGTTGTTTTTTCAATTAGACCCTTAGTTTATATGGATTAGCAAAATTCTGTAGAAACATTAACCTTTTTTTACTGCGTATTTTATTGGGTATTGGTGCCCTTTATATGGACATATGGTCGTGCTGTTATTAAAATTAGCCAAATTTATGAATTTATTCCGAACATTACAAGAAGAATCTAATGCCCTTCTCAATTTTTATTTTGACTCGTTAATCTTAACTTTCAAAATTTCACCTATCTAAATATCCACGGATACGAGGTTCAAATTCCTTCGATGTAAAGCGAAAGCGCTGTAAAGGTGTTGCGCGAATGTTAAGCGCGCACGTCTGTTATGTGGTTGGCCGAGCCAATTGACGATAGGATGTTAAAGAATCTCTCAACTGTTTTTGCGACACTTAGGTTTTATTGTCAAATCATTCGATTGAATACTCCAATTATTAAAATTAAATTAATTAATAATTTGTTGAATAATGTAAAAATGAAAAGATTTTTTTAAAAACTTCTGAGGAGGGTATTAAGTCCAAAAAAAGAAGAAAAAAAAAATGTATAAGTTCATTAATAGCATGAAAATATGGAATTTGTATTTTAGAGAAAGAACTTAATTATTGTCTATCCTGAAAAGGGATTATCCAATCAAAATACAAGACAGGATGGAAGGATATTCTTAAAAACTGTTAAAAAAATTAACTTGAAATTCTTAATAACTATTAACAAAAAAAAAGGTTTGAAACTACAAAGTATAATAGGCTCTCAGAGGCATATTTATATGTTAGGACGAAAGAGTTGTTCTAACTCAATAATTGCTTAAAAAATTACTTAAAATATCATGATTCATGGATGGTCCCCAATAACAAATTCAGCAGCCTGGACATTGAAGTGCTGGACTAATCTCAAAACTTTCGTGTTTGTTTTTTATATATGGTAATATATTTTTTCAAAAACACAGAAGGAAAATAGTTTCTGCTTGATAGCAATAGTATTGCGGGCTTTTAGAGTTTCTGTGGGCGAGACAGGTGGTGGGAAGCTTGGGAGTTTTCTAGACGTGTATTTTGGTTTCCTAGAACTCAACGTGGGGATAGGGCTGAGAATATGTTGCAACTTTGTTTGTATGCAACAATCCATATTTGCTTTGACCCAACCACGACTGACATTATCTTCAACCTCTAAATTACGTTGTATTCAACCCATGCGCTTGACTAAGCTCACACTTTGGTCTTCAGCTTCAATATTCATCCAACATTATTAATATTCAATTATTTCGTTCTCCTGTTGTAATTGATTTGTGTAAACATCTAGAAATAGTCAAAGCAAAAGACTAATGAATATAATGAATTGGAAGCCATTTCCAAAGTCTCAAAATACCTTTAAAAAGCTCATTTAAAGCTAAGGTCATTCCCATCTCCATTCAAATTTTTTTTTTTTCAAGTACCCATTTAGCCTTTTTTTTTTCTTGTACTGTTTCTGTCTGTTGATTAATTTATTTGATTAGAGAGAGAGAAAGCAAATTAGATGATGGCATGCTTTTTGCCTCTTAATAGCAGGAATTTGGATGTAAGCTTTTTTGTCTTCAGGCCAACTGTAGTTTTAGTTGATGAACTTCTGGAAACCCTTAAGCAGTTTTCTGGAAGCACCGAGAATCTTGGGTGTGTTCACAGTTCCATTCTCAAAAGCATCCATGGAAATATGGTAAGTGACCTAATTAACTTTTTCCTTTAATTAACCCTGATTAATTAAAATTCCCAGATCTTAAACCAAAAGATTTGCAAGTTATTTAAAGACCATGATTGACTTTATTAATCCTTAATTAATCTCCCTTCAGATCATATGGTATGGAGCATGGATGAAGAAGTCGAGTGAAAACAAAGAGTTATTAACTGAAGCCCTTGTAAGTCAATTGCACTTCATATCCATTAGGTCATGTTTAATATATTCTAATGAAATATGATCTCAATTTTTTTTTTTAATTTCAAATACATTTTATTTGCGTTAATTTTTTATTTCTTTCGATTTCTGGCCAGCTATCAATGTTAACAAATATATCAAGCATGGCAATCTTGATTGAACATGGATTCTTCGATGCATATGCCGGAGAATCAAGAGACGGTTCCTCAGCGGCGAAATTCTCAACCGGAGATGCAATATCAATGAACATGATAGTGCCGGAATCCGGAGACATAAATGAAATATCCTATGCAAATTTAGCGATATTTAAATCTCACTTCGTGAAAATGGGAGGTGCAACTGCCGGAGTATGCCTGAAATGCCAAAGCAAGCCTAGAGTGGCATGTCTTTATGTCTGGAAATCTCTGCAATTTTGTTACTCCTGGATTATAAATTCTGACCATAGAAAGACCATGCTTCCATATCTTGAACGTTTTTCTTTTGACATTAAGTATGATATTTTTAGGGTAATTTTTGTTAGTAGTGAAAATGTGTCAAGTTACAAGCATCGTTCTCCTAATCACATGTTACAAAATGGAGGCAATAGCAAAGAAAAGGGAACAGTAATTATGCAAGGTTGAAACTTTTGAACCATGTAAATTAATGATGTATAATGTAAATTAATAGTGTTCACTAAGTCGTATGCCTCTTTCTTTTATAAGTTAAGACTAAAAAGAGTATCGTGATCGTCCCAGGATAACTTTTTTATGGTAAAGAAGTATACCTGATTGTACAAGCAATACTAGGTAGAGTGCCAAAGGGAAATACAGCGCCCCAAGAAATTTTGTATATAATAATGTGTAACATAAGCAATTAATTGATAGTAACCTGATTAGTCGTTTCGTCATGCTGTTGAACGACCGGTCGGCTACTCACCATAACCAAGCTCAGCTGATCATTCATTTGGCTGTAACCTTTCTTTTGGCTTTGTCCCTGTCGTTAAACGACACGTCGAATAAAGGCAAGGGCTGCATGCAGGGGTGAGATTATTCAATACAAATGCTAATACAAAAGTGCCACAGCAACCCCACTAGAGATTTAGGCCCATTTCTTTTGCAATTGCCTTGTGAATTTTAGTCTATGGCCAACTACAGATTTGGGCTTTGGCAAATCTCAACAAAAACAAGTTCTATAACCAAGTTGTTAACTTAGGCCTCCGGAGAAATAAGAATAATTAAAAAATGTACATTTATAGGAGACCCAATCAAGACGGTTGGGTTAATAAAAATAGACTGTATCTCCAATCAAAATTTACCTATCAAATGATAATATGCATGATTACCTATCAATTAGATAATATTTGAGAACAATTGTTATTAGCTGATAAGAATTATCACAATAAAGAATAATTTACCTTATTATAAAGAAGATTATATCAATCATACTGGGTTGGCTTCGGTTGGGTTGTGTGGCCTTTTTGGTGTTTTAGGGATTCAACGACACAAACACAAGATGCCAATTAACATTCAATCATAATAATCCCACCTTACTTGATTTGCTTGAGAATAAACATCAAGTGTCCCAACTTTTCTAGGCTATTAACCATTCCTTTAAGTGGGTAAACATCAACCCTAATAATAACTCATGACCCACATAAACAATAATTAAAACTTCAAATTATCACGTTAAAGATCTCTCTTTCTTTTTTATCAAGTAGGTGTTCTCCCACACCTCTGATTTAAATAAGAGATTAATTCATTTTAGACTGGAAAGTGATTATGTTTAAAAGTCCTCTCCAAAGCGCTGACTTCACAACCATCGTCAGAGTGAGATCCAGTGCGCTTCAACCACTGAACTAAATTATTTTGAGTTTCAAGAACTCTCCTTTTAACACGTTGAGAATTAATAATTAAATTTTTTGGATTGCCACCTTCAATAACTGCTCCACCCGACCTTAAATCCTTCCAAAAGGGCATACACCATTATTGACAATATAAAAGCTAAACAGCATTCATTGGTCAAAGGAGAAAAGGTGACTTTGCATATCAAAATTTTCAAAGATTGAAGGGAAAGTAATACTATTATAGGGACCCATTTGAAAATTTTTAAAGTTTTTTTCTATATAATGCCCATTCTACTCAAACTCCATATTTTTGAATGAGTCCCAAATCTTAATATTCTCCCAATTGCATGTCCCACATTTTTTCCCTTCTATTTGGGTTGGAAATTTTGTGGCAAAAATCAAAGCTTCAATAGGAGCCATGAAGACTCATGTGCTATTTGCTCTAAGCCATGGGCCTTAAATTCTTTGATGGTTGTTAAATTTTGAATTCTTGGGAAGCAAAGCACAAATAATAATGTGATTCATGTAAGAAAAACTAGGAAGAATTTGACTGCCAAAAAGAATATAGGAATAGCATTTTAATTTTTTTTTTTTTTTTTCCAAATTGATGAACCAATTTTCTACTGCCCTTTTTTTTGAGAATGCCCTCTAAAATTAGTTAGGTTCTATAAAAGATAATATTAAGGATAAACAAGCTTGCATGACACATAAATTTGTGTCATTTATTGGAAAAAATTTATGTGGCTTCCATAAGGCAAATATTATATGAATTTAATTAAATGAATGATTTTCCTTTTTTTTAAAAAAAAAAAAAAAAAAAAAAAAAAAACCCTAAAAGAAAATTTTTGGTATTCCTAACACAAACATTGGGTTTTATAAATCAATCTATTGGGCTGAAGAATAGTAATTAATTTATCATACAAGAACTTCTTTTCTTCATTTCTATTTGGTATTAATTGTTTTTTTTTTTTTTCCCTCCATTTGCCTTATGAAAGACGATCAAAGGAAATATATGAAGGCATGTGGTAGCACTTTATAGGAGAAAGTGACAGAGCTTAATGGAGACAACTTTGATCAAAATAAGAGACAAATGTGTATTTAAGACACAATTTTTCTTTGAGAAAGAGAGACCCCATTCTTTGTACTTTGAGTGATTTTTTAGAAGAAAGGGAACTTCTTTTTTGTGCCAGATCATTTCCTTTCTTCTTTTTTAGTTTGTCCAGCTCAACCTGCCTTGCCCAAGATTCATTCTACCCAATTTGAGTATTCATTATACCCTACCATTACATCTAGATACATGGTATTTTAGGATAATTATTTTTTTTTTTTATAAGGTTACAACTGTTCTTAGAATATATGCTTATCAAAAAATATATTTTTGTTATTACCATAACACACCTTGCCCCTCTTCAAAGGCAACTTCCCATATATAATAAGATGCATAGAGTGGCATAAAATTGAGAAGGAGAAAGTAAATATAATTCTTGCAACTAAGTTTATAATAATAATAATAATAATAATAAACGGCGCCGTCTTGTCTAACAATGTGAGTCATGCGGTCAAAGAAGTGGGCTAGTCAATGTATTCATATTTGGTTAATTAATTGAAGGAAAGAAATTAATTTGAAAGGGAGACAGATTGGGTCAAAACCCTGAGCTAAAGGACATTGATGACATGTCATGCCCTAAGTCACCAGAAAACAAAGGACAACGGGAACAATACATGTGAGTGGGGCTCAATTACAAATTCTATTTAATTTAATGATGCCACGTCATATATAAATACTATAAAGAATGTTTTTGGACATACAAAAAAGTATTCTTTTGAGAAAGGATTTTTACTTGCTAGAAGATTAAAAATATTGGAGGGGACCTCTACTTTCTTTTTCTAGGGTTTTGTCCTCTGGCTGATAGATTTAGTGGATAATATATATTATTACTTAGGCTTTTTTATTTAATTAAGAAATGATAATATTGGGTTTGGAGCCCAAAAAAACATTTTGATAGACAATTATTATACTATATTATTGATTAATTTATTATTATGTAGGTGGGATTATCACATCAAAAGCATTAAGAAGAGGGATCCTATGGGTTTTTCTTCTATAACCAATGAGCATGGACTAATTTTATTCTCATTTTATAATTTTTTATTTAAAGAAAAACGTTTCGGATTTAAATTATCAATTTTCGACTTGTGGAAAATTAAGTATTAAATTATTAATTATTGAATTCAAAATTTATTTTTCTTTCAACAATGTTTGAAAATTATACATGTATATGTCATGGATTTTTGCTAATCCAATTTAAATTATTGAATCGCAAGTTTAATGATGCATTTGCAAGAATTACCTGGAAACCAAATTCATGATAATATTATTTATATTTACACACTTTATAAAGGTTTCTGTAACGTATTGGGTCATCTTCTTTATTATTTACGCGTAGAGTTTTGCAACCCTAGAAATGTTTCTTGAGAAGAAAATTACCCATCTATGTTCTGCAGGTATTTCTCTTTGGATTTCCTCTTGTGAAATTCTGTGTAGAATTTTTTTTCTACCCCAAAATCATTTGGTAACAACAAATTATTAAAATATTTTTTCTATTTAAGTTTCTTTTTAAAAATATTTGTGTACTATATGTGTATATTTTACATGTATATTATAAAATGAGAATTTAGGAAATATATACTTATAATTTTAAATTGAATATTCAAACCTGAAATTAGAGTGCACATGTCTCTAGATTAATTGCTATAGAATAAGACAATATGGAATTTTACTTAGAATTTTATAGTACTGAATTTGGTAGCCTTGGCAATGGCAAATTGGCAACATACGAGGAAGAAGGAGTTTCTCTATTTTCTTGGAGGAATTTCTTATATATTGAATTCTATAAACCCTAGTTATAGCTGTCTAGAACCATTTGAAAAAATAAAGAAAATAAAAATATAATGAATATTAAAAATAAAGTTTTTATATTTAAACATAAGTTTTTCTTTTCTTCTCTTTTTATTATTTATTTCTGACATTAATGTATAAGAATAAGCAATAGAGCAATAAAATAAGCAAGGAGAAAGCATTGGTAAATGGTTGCAATTTTGGACACAAAAGTATCTTTGACTAAAGACTCCCAAGAAATTCTAATTAATTACTCGTTAAATACCTCTGCGAGGAATTCATTATTTCATTTTTTTTTCTTTTTTAATACTTTATTTAAATTATAAACTTAATAATATTTATTTTAAGGCCATGATAGATGCGTGATTATCGCAAATCTTATTTGTCCTTTTTAATTCAAATTTTGGCTTTTAGTCTTCTTTTTTTTAATTGCCAATTTGCTGGTTTTTAAAATAAAAATGAAAAAAAAATAAAATTTGATTTTCTCAATAATATTTAAATAAAATGTAAAATATCAACTCGAATTGGACTGACTCAATTTAATTGATAATTTTTTTTTTTCAGCCTATTTAATTTATAGGAGGAAGAGAGGTAAAAAAAAATGAAGGTGATCATTGATAGTTCACTGTTAAAATAATTTCAGAATATTTTAATAAGCAATTGACTAATTGACAGAGAGCGGGTAAACCTAACCAACCTAACTGCTCTCGCATACCGTCTGATTTTCGATGAAAGGACACGATAGTTGTTGCAGTTATTTATTTTTCTTATTTCTATTTTTTTTTTTTTTTTACTCTTTCAGGGGCCTGTTAATATCAGTTTATAATTCCTCAGAAAAATATATAAAAGTTTATACCCTAAAAATAAAAAAAAAAATTATGTCAGTGTATTATTACGCGAGACATCTAGTTAAAATCTGTACAAAGATTCACCATAAAAAATTCACATGGCAGTGACAGTAAATGTGCCTGCTACTTTTGACGGTTTGACCGTCTTTATTTTTATCTTACTTTCCTCGAATTTTGATTTTGTAGGGATGGCATTGAGTAAATTTCCATATACTTGAGTTTTCATTTTCAATGTGGTCAAACATAGATTACGTCCAAAAAAACAAAATTAAAAGTTACTTACAATACACAAACCTACTGCTATAAATAAATGAATCCAGTCAAGTTGAATTCTATTGGATTAGAGTTAATAAAAATATAGCTAAACTCAATTTTAAAATGAAAAACTAATTTTGAATTGGTTGATTTAAAATTTTTAGTTAAAAAAAATAAAATATACAAGCTCGAATTCAAACTTGAGCTTAGCTCATTTATCAAACAATCTCAATAATTAAACTCGAATTTGACTCATTAAATTTATCAAATAAATTCAAATAAATTTTTTTCGAGTCAAATCTTAAATTACTCATAAACAATTTAATAATCTGTAAATGCAGATTACAAATTAGTATAATCTATTTGAAATTTGATCCACAATATATAAAATATAATTAATGGGAAAATGAATAATACTAGAAACTAAAAAAAAAAAAAAAAAAAAAAATTCTCTTTACCCAAAATTGAACATAACTTTAACTTGTAAGATCAAAATAAAATTATAGTCTCCCTCTTAATATAAGAAAAATCCAAATTGGTCAAAATGCAAATAATGAACAGAACCAGTGAAATAATGAATCAAAACCTATAACAAAAGAGCTTTTTGTTTCTGCTTTAATAATGAAAGCAACAAAAATAAACTCTTTCTGCATTTATATTATTATTACTTTGTATTTTTAGTAATATGTTCAAGTGATTGACAGAATAATGACACATTTACTTTACTTGAACAGCTTACTATACAGAGCAAAGTGAAATTCCACTATGGGCTCACTGTGTAAAAGCCTGCCCTTAATCATTCTCCACGTTTTTCTCTTTGCCATTTTTTGAATTCAAGTGTTAGAAATTTGGAAATCTTGATGAAAAAAGAAGAAAGAAAAAAGTTATCTTTTTTATAATTTTTTTTGAAAGAATCGGCAATTCCTCGGCTGGTCAAGTAAGAAATCGCCGACCACCATTTTTGCCTGATTGAGATGTGGGCCCCCGGTGGTGACGTGGTGAAATCAGAGTGGGGTAGGAAGAGAAGGGGGGAAAGTAAAGAAGAGAAGCTAAAGCTTGGATCTTTGATTAACAGTAGGCACAGTTCTTTCCACCTGTGACCTGTAGTGTCTGCTACAATAACACAACAGCTCTCTTAAACAAAGAGATACAGAGAAAGACGTATGCGTGTAGCTCTCTCTCCTCCTCCTTTCTTTCTAGAGAACCAAACAGTTTAGTGAGAAAGAGAGAGAAAGATCTAATGGAGTACGAGAGAATACACAAAGTGCAGGTATAGTTTTGTTTTTGTCCTTTAAACTCTGTTTTTAATAGAGTATTGAAAGACCCTTGTCCTGTTTTTGTTCTTGATGTTATTGCTACTTTCAAAGTAATGGGTTCTCTGTTTTCTTTTTATTTGTCCGTTATTGGTGTCTTATGAGTTTTTATATTAATGAGTTTTCATTCTTGTTGTCACCTACTTCTGTTATGATCTGGGTTTTTTTGCTTATCTAGCCTGTGATTTCTCGTTATATCTTTTTTTTTATAAAAATTTTAATTTCCAAATTGTGATCTATTATTTGAATTGGGAGATTTTTGGGGTTTTACAAATGTTAATGTATTGAAAGGTCAATGTTTTTTTTTTTTTTTTTTTTTTAATTATATATGTGGTCGGTGGGAGAATTTGAGAAATGCACTATATGATTTTGCAAAGGAAATTGCACAACAGAGCACTTTAATTTATTTGATAGGGACTATTTTGAAAGAATTTGAATAGCTTTTTGCTGTCTTTCTTGGAAATTTGTGGACTGAATGGTTGATTTGTCAATTGCAGACTGCTATAATATCTCCAAGTAAGCTAAGGATGAAACTAATGGGACCTCATCATAATAGAAAGAAAGATGGATCAAACAGTAATTCTTCAAGAACATCTCCTTCAAGGCTTGAGGACACTGAATTTGTCAATAATAGCTTATTAGCCACTGACGATGAAGAAGGTTGGTATTTACTATCTCTCCCCCCTTTGATTGCAAATTTTATTAGGGTTTTATTCTGAAAAATAGGGTTAGGTACTAGCTTAATAGAGTACATTTTTTTTTAGCATTTAGCTCAATTTTGAATTTCTGTTACTCTTTAAACGTTGCATTTTGTGCATAACATTGAGTATTTATATTGAAATGTGGTATCAAGTTGTAGCTCCCAGTTTAGAAGTTCCATCTGTTACTGCACTGGACGATACAGTGGTTGATCCCAGCCAAGCTGCTCAGATGTCTTGCCAGGCCAAGGAGACGTTGCCAAAGGAAAATGGCAATGTGGGTCGTGTTAAAATGCAGCAATTCGCAAAGGTTGAAAGTGGTAATTCAAGTGCAGTACATCCAATGAGATCTCTTGAAGATGAGAATCTTGATTATGATAGTAATGCTAGTTCATCTAGCTTTGAGTTCCATAAGGAGAGATCGGCACATAATCAATTCACAAGATCATTTTCAAGGTCCATGCCATCTAAGTGGAATGATGCAGAGAAATGGATTATGAATAGGCAAAATATGCAGCCTAATTACTCTAAGAAGAATGCTTTACACAGCCAAGCTAATCGGATGCTGGGGACAAATATGGTGAGGGTTGCTCCAGAATCAGCAAATCATGATCATAAGTCATCAATGAGTCGAGTGGTGGATACTAAGCGCATAGATATCTGTCAGCCTGCTACACAAATGGCAATTGAGAAGTTCTCTTTTATTCCTCCTGGAACTCCCTCCATTTCTGGTCAAGCATATGGAGGGAATGTGCTTATAGATCAGTGCACTCAGAGTAAGGATTTGAAGGAAGTGGATCAAAGAGGACTATCTAGCGCACAAAGTTCAACAGAAGAGACAACAGGTAAACTTGCATTTATATTGTGCTTTAACTAATGTCTGGGCTGATAACTGCAAGCTTGTTGTGGATTTAAAACACTTTTTCCTGTACTAATAGGTTTTGTATGAATAAGAAATATATGGAAGTTCTTTTATAATGATATGGCATTTTTCTAGGAATATACGTTTATACTACGATATCAATATTTTATTCAGTGAGTTTTTGCTGATGCATCATGGTACTTACCAATTGATCTCCTTCATCAAAATAATCAAGAAAGAAGTCTTCCTATTTTCCACGCCTGTAGGAACTAACACAACAATGTTTATTTTGGTGGCTGGTGCTTGCAATCCTAATAGGATGGTAAGATGCAGTGAACACTTAGGGTCTATGAGTCTTCAAAATGTATGGAACTTAATAATTGGAACTTTTAGTTTATGGACTTGCAAAAATAGGTTGGATGATTCAGAGAAATAGACAGTTAGTCTAAGAAATAATCCCTTTTCTTCTGATTTAGCTGGTATCTTTTTCATTTTATTTTATTTTTGATAATATGCTGATATGGCCTTGCAGTTCTTCCTGTCATAAGATCTGTTTGCATGAGAGACATGGGAACAGAAATGACCCCTGTTACAAGTCAAGAGCCTTCTAGGACTGCTACACCTCTGGGTGCAACAACTCCTCTTCGCAGCCCAACTTCTTCAATTCCATCTACTCCCCGAAGAGGAGCACCAGCGCCGACACCTATGGAGCACAGTGCTGATGATGATACGCATAATGCCACTGGAAGTGGTAAAAAAGAGTTGACTGAGCAAGAAAGGAAACTAAATACAAGAAGAGAGATTGTGGCATTAGGTGTCCAGCTTGGCAAGATGAATATTGCTGCTTGGGCAAGTAAACAAGATCAGGAAAAGAACACATCTTCGGTTGAGACTGCTGCTGATGTTGAGGAGCTTGAGCGGATTGAATTTGAAAAACGTGCAGCTGCATGGGAGGAAGTTGAAAAATCTAAACACACAGCAAGGTTTCTTCTATGACCCTCACTCTTGAACATGGTTCAAAGTAGCATTCCCATAAAGTTTAGTTTATAGAGTACTTCAATTAACTTGTTTCACTGACAAAAGAACGCTTGATTCCTTTCAGATATAAGCGTGAAGAAATCAAAATTCAAGCATGGGAAAGTCAGCAGAAAGCAAAACTAGAAGCAGAGATGCGGAGAATAGAGGTATTTAAATGTTTTTTTTTGAAGAGGTCGTTACAACATTGCAGTTTTGTGGACATTCTTGTGTAATAGACTCGGGAAATATTCAGATCATAGGTTGATGATATGAAAATTGCTAAAGAGAAATTTTATAATGCCAAAAAATTTCTGAAGTGGGTCAACTTCACTTCTAGCGTAGATGAAATCTAGGCATCATAACAAATGATTTACGGCACAAACTACCTAAAATTTTTGAGACTGATTCAATCACCAATGTCGCGAAACTATAACTGAATCCATCTGTTTTTCAGGCCCAAGTTGAACAAATGCGAGCGCAGGCTCAAGCAAAGATGGTAAAGAAGATAGCTATGGCAAGGCAAAAATCAGAAGAAAAAAGAGCAGCCGCAGAAGCCAGGAAAAGTAGGGATGCAGAAAGGACTGCTGCTCAAGTTGATTATATTCGCCAAACAGGCCGAGTGCCCTCATCCCATTATATCTGCTGTGGTTGGTTATCATAAAACTGGAAAAATTGAAGTATTTCAAGTAGAAAGAAACTGCTCATAATCTCGTTGAGCCAAAGTGGCATCTCTTGTACTTTTTGTTTTTCTTTCATAATTCATTGAGCGTTGTCCACTTGTCTTGTATGTTGCTCAATCTTGTATCTAACGGGTGACCTTAGTTTTCAGGTTAAAATGTGAAATTTCACTGCTTTTTTATTGTTTTTGAGTCATTTGCAAACTTAGTGTGCCTATTTGAGTACCTGAAAGCCAGATAAAGAACAACACCCTAAAAAAGTATTAAATTAAATATAATTATTTTCAGAATCTGTACAAGCTACTAAATAAGTTTCTTATGACTGCTTGTTGCTGCAACTTTGTGAATATTCCGATAGTGTTTGATAGTTTGCTTGGGCTGGGGTACACTTCAACATGACAATATGAACTGGACTATAAAAGCCCTGACTCGGCTTTTCTGACCCAGGATAGGCCTTATTTGTCTGGGCCGAGTTGGATGGGTGTAAGCTCTACTGTAGTAGGAGGCCCAAAAACTAAGAAGTTGCCTCTTCCATGATCAATTTTACTAACCGTAATTTTTGTGTCCTCCAATACTAAAAGAAAAGGCAGAATATATATAGACTTTCATGTCATCCACTTTTGATTTTTAATTTTTAAAAATTGCTAATATTATTTGTAAGCTGTTTAAAACCCAAAATTTATCAAATAAAAAAAATTATCATTTTATATTATATGAGAAAATCCTATGAAAGTTAAAAGAGCAAAAGGAGGAAGAAGAATAAGTATTGACATAAAGATTGGTAGATGCGTGTTTTTCTAACTATTGAACAATACGAATGACACGACGGGTTGAAAACGACCGACAATCTGCCGTTTAAAACTCACACAAATGCAAAAGGCCAAAACCTAAGAGGAAAAGCTAAAACGAATTAATATTTTACTTTTTAAAAATGTGGATTAAGTTAATATTGTTGGCATGTATTTATAATTTTTTTAAGTTTCAAATTTCAATTTAATAAAGAGAGTCAAGCACCTTCTAGAACGACCTGTCGTCTGTAGGAACAGGGGAATCTCCAGTTCCACCATTTATTCAACATTAGTGTCTATCTAGTTATGCTGCAGGAAAAGCTTCAAAAGTTCTATGCATACCAAAAACAATATTTAGATTATAATACAATGAAATAGATATTTTTCAAAAGTTCAATATATCAAAATATAGAGTCTTAAAGGCAAATACATATATATACAATCTGATAATAAACATAAAAAGATAAAAATCCACTTGCCTAGAGAACAAATCAAGTTGAAATTAACCATCCAACCTTAGGTGTGGTGTTGGAAATGTTTTCCATAATTTAGAGATGTCTTCAAAATTGTACCTAAGAAAAGGAGAAAAGAAGTATGAAATGGATTGAACCACAACTTTTTAGCAAAAACCAGACACAAAGTGGCCACATGATGAAGCAGACTTCAAACATGTTAAGCAAAGATAGATATATCTTTTTATTTTTCATCCTTTTGTGGTTGATAGAGAATAGGTTGTCAATCAAAAAGTTACATATAATAAGCTAAGAGTAAAAAGGGGCAAACCCTACCCTACCCTACCCAACTCTTAATGTAAAGGTCCTTTAGAAGGGGTTGTTGGATAGCCAGCCCTACCTTTTATTGGTACTATTATTGTTGATAGTGCTGTACCTTGTCACAATTCCATCCCTTAACCAAGTCCTATCTACAATTAGTGCCCCCACAACATGCATTACAGAACACGAGCCCGTCTAAGTCCAACAAAAGATAAAACGACAGCTTAACTTGAAAAAGCAAATTTCCTTCTTTCCCTTTCACTGATTCAAACACCAAAGAAATGTAGAAGACTGATGAGATTTTAAAAAATCAGGAGATGGACTCACGTGCCTCACGTGGGGGTCAATCTACCGACAATTTGATGACCCATTGTTAAGCCTAGGGCACACATTTGGACATACCTGTAATAATTGAAGATGCTTCAAATGTACTCTGTAGAAGAACACTGTCTGCCTGTTCTTCCTTTTGGATAATGTATCGATGTACCTAGCTCTAATTATTAACCTAAAATACTCATGTAACTCTAGATGTAGATGGAAATAGATTATATATTCCATCTACATCTAGAGTATCACTCGCCCAAAATTTTTTACATGCCATCTTGATTTTACGTCATATAGCCACTAAACACCACTTACCTATTCATGCATTAGGTAAACCTATGAGCATTCAGTTCTATCCAAGCCAGGTTAAGGCATCCAGATAGGACCACTGATAAAATAGTCAAAAATGTGGTTTAAGATTCTCTCCTCCACAGCCAAAAAACCTAACAAATCAGGCAATTTTCACATTAATGCAAGCCTAGAAAGTAGCTTTCAAGACCTAGCTATTGTACACTCAGCACATGGCAACTGGTTCCTACAACTTGTATTACTCATCTAATCGCATAAGGTTCTTGTCACATCCACCGAAAGGTCAAATAATGACACGGGAGTATCATGTTCATTTCTCTGCGTTCAAATTTATCTTATCATAAATTGACTTCTAAATAACAAAAAAAAAAAACAGCTAAGTCCACAAAAGACTCTGTCCTACTAATAATGGATTGTATGTATTCAATAACATAAGAAACAAGAAGCAGCATCTTCTAATTACAGTAATAGCTTATATATAAATTTTAAGCTAGGATCAGGCAGTACTTCCCACCTCTTGAAGTGTTCAAGGTTGAAACTAATATTACAAAAGAGAAAATGGTATCTTAACTGGTTAAATTGTTCAGTAGTCCAAAGACCCCACAGAAGTTATACCAGTGCTCAAATTTCTTGAGTCCTGCCGGCTTGCATAGTCGTCACAACTGCCATTTGAAAGCCTCTGAATTGGGACTGAGTTCAGAAGCTCTAGGCCACGTTTGCCCATCTGCTGCACTTCTTGTGGTGATAGTATTTTGATGCACCACACGCTGTTCACAAATTCCCTGGTTTAAGAAGCATAGAATATATCAGCAGTGCTAATTAAGAATAGCAAAGAACAGATGGAAAGCAAACATTGTTTAGTTATTATTGGAAATATTTATTTCAAAACCACAGCACGTAGAAAGATGCCTTTATTTTCCAAATGATTTCATGACAACATATCTGGTATAACTTGGGATTAAATCGCCAGGTTTCAGAAAAACAATAATCTAGAAGTTTTAAGGGGGGGAAAAATCAACTAAAAGAATTGTTAGAATGAGACAGCAAACTTACGGCCAGGGGTCATCACCGAGGAGAAGCACGTCATTCTCCCGGTCAACAAATACAAGCTGCCAGCCTGATCTCAGAGGGTCCTCCAGCTGGCCTTCAAGGCCAAACATGCGAGCGAGCTCACTCCGCAGCTCGTTGTAGCTGCTAAATTTGGTAATGTCTAGCGACCTACCAAAGGACCCTGACTTGTAAACCTGCCAACAATTATATTATCAGCATCAGATAGTACGAAAAGCAAATCAAGTTTGCATATTCTTTCAAAAAAATAAAATAAAATAATAAGACAAGAATTCCATAAAGCCAAATGAGGTTATGAACACCAACTGGAATCCCAAAAAGGCAACTTACCTTGACAAAGGTTCTAGATGGTGGGTTAACTTGGCCCACATTTTCTGGGGACTGCAGGAAGCCTGATTCATCAATGCAACTTGAAGGTGTCATTGCTGGATTGAGCGAGAAATCAGAGCCTGTAGTACTCATGTAATTAGAAGATGAGAAGGGTATTGTTGTGGAATCACTATCACTGCCAACACCCCTAAGACCTGACATTCCACTCTGCAGTAGAAGAGACGAGGGCTCTATGTTCACACCAAACAGAAGATGACTCTGTGGATCAGCACCTTCTTGATCTAAAGAACAACCCCTGCCAGGGAAGGGTGGCAAGGAAACAGAACTATGAGAGATGTTTGCCTGAGGGGGCCCCAGCTGTTCTACTTGTGGCAAAACACATTGTGGGGCTCCAGAAGAAATAAGAGGTTCAACAGCAGCTCGCTTCGATGGCCAGGCAGAAGAAGTCATTAAGGGATTGGTTCTAGGCATGTTCATCAAATGAGATGTTTCATCCTGGGAAAAGGAACCCATGAGACTGTGCAAAGGAGAAACGACAGAGCTCGTCACAGGGTTCCCGTTTGAGTCTGAAAAACTCTGTTGTTGACACAGGGAAGAGATGGCCTGTAATGGTGGTGACTGGGATTGAGAGGCTGAAGCAAATTGGGATATGGAAGAGACAACATTTTGAATCTGTTGATGCTCAACTAGTTGCTGTTGTTGTGGCAGTGGCTGCTGCTGCTGCTGAGTACTTAGTGAGTGCTGGTGCTGCAATTGTTGCTGAAGAAGGTGTGACTGAGTTTGAGTTTGAGCCTGAGGCTGATGTTGGTTTTCTTGAACACTTTGAAGAAAGGCCTGTTGAGGCTGAGATGACTGCAACATCTGGGGCTGCATCAAAGCAGCAGTTCTGCTTGGGAGATTCACATGTTGCTGGAATTGTAAAAGGGATGTATTTGATGGTTTGGAAGGATCTATAGCCCTCATCTCCTGAAGTGCAGCAGCAGCCATAGCGTGGTACATGTCAGTTTGCAAACCAAGCATGGAAGCATCAACCCTTGGCTGCATCCATGGTGTGACTCCCAGTCCCTGAAAGTTCATAGATTGAATTCCACGGTCCCCATCACCTCGCAGCCACATAAGAGGAGAATTCATTCCCAGATCATCATCCTTCATTCCTACAGTCAGCAGATTGGTTGACAAGATATTAAAGAAAAAGTTCTCTGTAAAAAGAACTAAAAGACTTGAACATCATCCTTAATAAAGTATTATTACTGAAACAAAGGAGGCACTAAAAATGAAATAAAATAAACAAAGAACCAGAGAAGAAGAAGATAGCCAAAGCCTAGAACTGGACTTTAACAGATATAAAAACAATCAAATGGGCAACCAACAGGCTTACCATGGAACGAGGGCAGTCCAGGTGGCCAAGGTCGCTTAAGCCTCAGAGGGAATGGAGATGGATACATTGGAAATGTTGTTAGTGGTTCAATCTCCCACAAAGAAACTCTTGGTTGCCTCTCTCCAGCTGTGGACTCATCCCAGCCAACCTATATTTATTTGTTCCATGCATTTTAGATAGGCAATTTACAAAAATAAATCAAGCCAAACATTTGAGAAAACTTGACAAAAACAACATTCTACCAAGAAATGATTTATTCAACGGTAAACAACATCTCTAATTATTCTCACTGTACCTTAACTGAGCGCCAATGTGAATTTGGCCACCTAACAGGATCTAAATCACTTATGCCGGTTATTGTGCCCATGTAGCTGGATGAGAAAACAATTCTCAGATGTTTATATTAAGAAGATGTGAAAATTTCTCTGGAAGAAAGTCATTTACAATGAAACAAGATAAAACAACACAGAGATGAAAACATATCATTGATGAGCCAAGGAAGCAATAGATAGAAGCATAAAACTGCCCTAACACACACACACACACACACACACACACACACACACAACACACACACACAGAGGGATCCAACATCAAGCCTGTTGAAACTAACCAGCTGCAATTAACAGCATTAGATCCCAATTAAACGCAGGGAGATATTTATTTCCAGTGTTTGGTTTATACAATGAATTTTCAGTGTGCTGCCAAAAATGAAGATCACCTTTACACATGCGAGGGGAAAAAATTAAATAAAAAGATTTCCAGAACAAATTGCAAGAAAGTGAATAAGCAATGGCCCAATAATGAGTAACTGTAAAATTATAATGAATATAACAGCAAAGGTTCAGCAGGGCCTACCGCCGGACACTAGATTCTTCCGTTTCAAATAGCATCCTAAAGCGCATGCCAACAGAAACCCGAGTATGATAGACTGCTTTAACATACTTGGTCAGTGGTATGACAAATTCTGATGGGCTAGCCCTGGATGAGACATTGAAAATTTAGAAGTGTATATAACAATAAAAATGTAAATTTACTGACACTGAGGTATCATACCTCGGATTGTAAAATATGGTGAAACGGCTATTTGTTGCAGCTGCATGAGCTGCAGCAGCAAGAAGGCCTAAGTGCATGCTGTCACTAGATAAGACTGATGAAGGCATCACAGTCTGAGGACGATTGGCACGGCGGATACCAAGCAACAATTGATTCTTTTCATTCCTGATAAAGTCATACTCATCTCTGTTAGGCATTTAAAAGATATAAAATATCATATTTTGCAGCGATTCATTTTTAAATTATTTTAAAGAACAGGGATTTTACCATTAAAGGGAAGTGGGAGGTAAAAGTTCACATATTTCACGCATGCACACAAATTAAACGCACCACGTATTTTCGAAGGCAGATCAAATATGTCAAGTCATAAATTTACCAGTTTAATAGACTAAATGAGTTTCAGGCATGCGTATACTTGGAGTTCAAAGAGATCATAAAAGAAAACCAAAATATGTTCTAGTCTAGCGAAATCAGAAGTTCGGAAAGAATCATAATATCTAATGAAAAGAATCAATACCAGATAAAAAGGACTGAATCCCCAGCAACAAGTCTTTTAGCACTAACAAACACACTCCAACCTGTTGTAAGGAGATGCCTTTTGGGCTGGCCTGACAGAAAAAAAACCATGGAACTGTCAGATGTATAGCATTTAGAGGCATTTTTTATCTTAATTCTCCAGCAACCTCAGAATTATCATCTACTTGAGATTAAACATTCAACCAATAGAAACCCAATAAAAGGTTGTACCAGTGAAGAAATGTAGGAGGTGGATTTATAACACTCACATTTACTCAATTTTACCATTATTACAGCTCTTACATCAAATCTTTAAAATTTTAGTTCACTTGACCTTTTCACATCAAATAGTTTCCACACAGAAGGTAGACATAGAAAGGCACAATTGTGAAACATAAGGGATGAATCTTGTCCCATAGAAGAGACCAAATAAACATTAAATCTCAAAAACTACTTTGAGTCAAAGACCATCACATGCACTGCTCTCATCACTTCGGGCATAAGATAGTATTGACATGCTCACAGCTCATGCCTTTCAATCCCATTCAATTTAAACAACCAAAGTGGGGCTTCATTACTAGGAAAGTGTCAATGTAACCAACATCAAGATCAAGTACAGTTGCTTGATCAATAATAAAAATTAAGTAAAAAGAAGAAGGCATAAAAGGGAAGAAAAACTCACCGCGGAAGATATGCCTGAATTTCCATTCGTTATCATGCAGATCCCTGGCAATCAACTCTTGAGCTGGAGGTTGCTGGGAAAAGTCCTGTATGTAAAGAATTGATGTAAGTATGTCATTCCAAATTTAAACTGTTGGGAACTTAAATCTAATGATCTCAGACTGAAGCTATACCAAAGGAGGGAACACTTTTTCAGCTGCCCGCCGAGGAACAGAGAACCCTCCATGAGTACTTGTGTCACTTGCTGTTAGAGTTTTACAAAAATAATTTGTTGGCTGTTTGCTGGGGGTACCCAATTCTGCTGGAAGGTAGGTATCCTTTTGCTCTTGCTGCAGAAATAAGGTTATTTTGAACATGTTATGCAATTCATGTCAACCATAGATCAAGAAAGTAAAACACAAGTATAGACAATATGGCATACAGGACTCAATGGCTGCAACGTCATCTGCGCATACACTTCATCTGTCTCAACATCTGCCTGCAATAGAGATATTTTCCAAGTATCTAAGATAGATCCAAAGGAAATATGCAGCATAAGGAACAAGCAAACTAAACAAGTCTTACATGCATAGTCACATTGTGAAGCTGACAGATAAGTTGAGGAGGTAAGCTTGGGTAGTTAGGGATATGAGCGTCCACTTCCTTGTTGGTTGATGCAGCAACCTGCATAAAGATTATTGATTTGGGTAAGAATACAGTTAATTTACCTCCCAATTTGAATGGGATCATGTAGCTAATAAACTGACAAATAATACAAAACATGAAGGAAGGGGATGAAGGGATGCTAATTCACATTTTCAAGTTGGATTTTCTAGATGGATGGACAACTTAACAGTTTCATAGAAGATAAAAAAAAACCAAAAAAAAAAAAAAAAAAGGGAAATGTAACATGCAGCCCAAAATACTTAAATAGCCCAAATATGATTGCAGATCGGATAAATAAATTTTCTCCACTCGTGAAGGCAATATTAAACGTTTTAAAGTCTGTATATTACCCAAGAAAATAATCCTAATTTGTCCTGAAGATACAATAAATGCTAAATGATCTAAACATAATTACTGACAAGTAATATACCAATTCGCTTCATAATTACAGGGATAAAAGATAATTCAGATTATATCTGCTTACCTGCTCGCTGTGACCCTGGGGGAAATAAACAACACGGCTTCCAACAGCAGGTAAAGAAACAAGAGGACCCGCACATGCATGCCAAAGTTCAGAATTCAAAACCCTTTTCTCCCCTGCAAAAATTCATTTCAAGTGTACTGTTAGAATCACCTGAAACCTACATTTGAGGTCACAAAGATAGAAAGACTTCATAATAAGTCCACCTACTAGTGAAAGCAAATAATTACATATGCCATCGAAGGGCCTTAACTAGTAACTTAAAAAGGAGTACCGAATTAGCCCTCTGACTGATTAACAGGCAGAGAATAGAGGAAAGAAAATCCCAGTATCCGTATCAACTGAGTTGAGCTCTCTGCAGCTAAGGCTATCAAAACGCAAAAAGAAAACCCAAAAATTGAAGTATTTAAACCAGCCTAAGAGAATCCATCCGCCAACTATTCTTTTCAAGATCTCAATTTCTGTCCCTTTCCCATATTTTTTTGGATAAGAAAATAATTTTGTGGAAATCCCAATTTCTATACTTAAACCATAAATTTGCCCCAAACCTCAAGCTAATCATTGGGTAAATAAAATTGAATAGATAAAACAATTCAAAAGGAGCGCATCACTTAGTCCCTCCCACCTCCAAAAAAGAAAAGAAAAGGAAAGAAAAGGGGAAAAGGAGAGAGAAAAAAATAAAATCTGCCAGCAATAATACTCACCTTCCTGGGTTTGTGGATTAAAACCAGCTGAAGCGAGCCTCATTATCACAGAGATTTAACACAACCTTTAAAATCCGTTTAGACCCACAACCAAAAGATCCAAAAACCACTATTAACCACACCAACTAAACCCCAAACTAAACCTACCAAACCAATCAACAATTACTCTCTTCACTTGCTTCTCTCTGCACAATACCATACCTTCACCTTCTCCCTTGCCCTTCAGAAACCAATCCAGATTAAGGAATTCAGGCTTCTAATTTAAAGAAACCCAGAAGTCAAATAATATTCAATGTGAAACTTCATTTGAAATCTAACAACCAAAACAGAAAAACCCACTTCCCGAATCCTCAACCGAACCCGGTATTGTTACAAAAGACGATCGATTTCAGCCACATCCGCTTGCTATCTTCTTCACCCTCGACCCCCAACTTCACAAATCACTGAACAAAACTCTTCAACCACAAGCAAATGGTAACCCACATTCCAGCTCCAAACTCTACAATCCCACACGCGTGCTTCTCTAATATGATTTCACCAATCAGATGAGCAAAGCTCAAAGACTAAGCAACTTGAAAATAAACCCAGAAATACCCAAAATCCGAAACTTGTAAAATAGCAACAGATCTCACTTCAAAGCACCAAATATTAATTCCTTTGGAACTTTCACAAGCAAAAAAAAAAGAGCCTAGATCTTATTACACGAGCAAAACCCCAAAATAGTACAAGTTAGAAACTCAAGTACAGAGCATTTCAGAGCAAGTTGAAGCCACATGAACATGCAATAGCAACCGCTTTCAACATATATTAAAGATCTTAACAGAAGAATATATAGCTATAACCATATAAAGACATAAGTTTATTAATATATATATATATATATAAGGAGAGGATTTTATGGGTTTGGGCAGTTGTTTCCAGTAATGGAAAATAGTGCGGTGGAGGTGATGGTTCTGCTGCTGCTGCTGCTACTTACTGCTGCTGCGTTACCCCTCTCTCTTTTTCTCTCTCTCTCTATTTTGGCTCAATCAATGAACACCGAACCGCCATTATTTTTCCCTCTTTTTTATACCAAGAGAAAAAGGCAAGGCAAAACAAAAGACCCCAAGGAGAGAGAGAAAGAGAGTGAGTGCTTGTGCGTGTTCCTATGAGTGAGAGTGTGTGTGTCAGATTGTCATTAGAGAGTTTTTTTTTTTCTTGATTTTCTTACTTTACTGTGACTTTTCGTGTTCATTTCAGACAATTGTGGAAGGAATCATTTACCCTCAAAGTTGGGAAGATTTACTCTGGTATCCTTTTATTTTTGTTTTTTCTTTTATTTTTTAATAAATTTATTAAATAAACGAGGATTTTGGATTTTGATTCACAAATAAATATATTGTTTAAAAAAACAAAAACAGAACTCACAATATTGTTTTTTATATAAAAGCACATAATTGATTTGATAATTCCAGTAAAATTACATATTCTTATCAGAATAATTACTATTCAAATAAGATTAATTTAATATAAAAAAGATAAGAAAATTTCTTATTGAGCTTCCTTCTTTATTTTCTTGTAATAGGATTTGTCGAAACCACAAAAGTCCTTAATTAAAACGGCATTCCAACTCACTGAAATTTATTCATATAATCTCGTTAAAGAGGGAGCCAAATTCATGGTTCATAGTCATGTGCTCTAATTCTATAAGCTACAGATTTTACTCCCATTTTCAATGTATCTGTTTCCGATAGTACTTTAAAAAAAATATTTATCCTCTTCTTAGCCATTTTCGAGTTAAGAAGTTGATTTTTTGAACTCGCTTTAAGTCAGGAGGACTAATCAACCAATTTGTGATGATACACGTAAAAAATCAATATCTTAGATTAAATTACAAGTTAAAATATTTGTATTTGAAATGGTTAATAAGGAAATGGGTTGGTCCACGAATATGAATAAAAGCATTGCATGAATGAAATGATTGAGATTGAAATGTACATAAGAGTATGGTTGCAAGTTGATTGTCATTGCTTAGCTATGGGCCAACTCTAAGTCCCACTACACGTACAATTATATTTTTAGGAAACCCAGCTCCCATTAAAACTTACATGCATGAATGTTTTGATTCTTTAAGACATCTCCACTGCCCTATTTCTTTTTAAACATAAAAGAAAATTCAGTATCTTATTTTTTTTTTTCTCTTTCTGTTGTTAAATAATTGATTCAAGCAATTTCTCTTTTTTTATAAATCCACTTCTATAATATTTTTGTAAATAATTTATATATTTATTATAATATTTGGTGAACCGTAATGTAACATGATGTAAATATATTTTATTGTATTATATTATGTTTCATTACCATACGATAAAGGAAATATATCCATGTTTTATAAATTTTATTTGTAAATACTAATTTAATGAGTCATATTTCATATATTTGTATGACTTAAAAACCTTTATTCTTTTTTCTTTTTATAATAACTCATTATTGTAAGCACTTTCATTTATTTTTACTTTGTGATATCATTATACCATTTTACTCGATTTTCAACCTATTTACAACAATATTATGTGATAAGGTACAATAAAAATCATATTTTAAGTTAAAAAAAAAAAGAATATGATTGTATTCTTGCAAATTAAATAAAAGGCAAATTAGCTATTTTCACCTTTTTTTTTTTTTGGCATGAGCTTGAAATCATAACTTGTTATTGGTTAAACATAGAAACACAATAAAAAGGAAAAACAAAATGGTTTTATTTTGAGAATTTTCTCTTTTTTTTTAGAATTATTTTTCATCATCATTCTAAAGTGTTAGCCAAAAAATTTCAATTTAATTTTAAAAAATCGATGTTTAAATTATTATAATTCACCATAATATATAATTTTATAAAGGAATCTAACTTACGTGTACATAATTAATATTTCACCACAAAATTAAAATTGGTAGGGCAAAGATGATTTGTTAGAAATCAAATCTTGAAATTGGTCAAATCGATTTGATTTAGCAAAAAAAAAAACAAAATCTATAGTTTGATCAGTCAAATTAAACAATTAATAACACTAATTTAGACTATTATTACTAAGGTGAAAAATGTTTTAGTGCATCCCCACAAACATATCACTAAGAGGAATTTGGATATTTCTGGTAATCTTTATGGAATTGCTTCACTTTCTTGCAATTTAACTAATTAAAAATCTTTTATTTTATTTGATAATAAATATTAAATGATAATATAAAAAAAAGGAGGACTATAATAAAAATATTTAAATGGGTTAAATTCATTAAATGATAGGTAAAGAGTACTGTTCCATTTTTCTAATGTTAGGTCCAACCAATCCATGCAAGTGATGTACTACTGGAGAATTTAAGAGGGAAGGGTCCATCCATTAAGCTCCAGAAGGATTACATCTTTTCATGGGACCATGTAATAACATTTTGATTTCTAACATTTTATAAATTCCATTTTTTTCTTAGTCAATTATAATCTAATTATCTTTTTCACGTTTGCTACAAAAGTTACAGCTAATTTAATAAATGTTATTTAAATATAATGGTTATTTTTGTGGTTGTAGCTCATAAAATTATTATGGTCTATCGAGCCTCCCTCAGCTCATAGTGTTATCCCGGTTATTAAACTTTCCATGCATTTTTTTTTTTTTTTGCATGAATTTAGTGGTTAGATCTAATATATGTCATCCGACGAAGCAATTAATTTTTAAAATTTTAAACATAAAATATATGTTAATAAACTATAATCCTTGACCTAATGACCTTCCTGGGATCAATTTGAACCTCAAATTTTAAATAATTGCAACCGACACATAATATTTTTTTCTTTTTTCGGAAAGGACACATAACAATTTATTAAACCATAATACTACACAATCTTGATTTTTTTTTTCTCAATTTATCATTATTTATATAGTAAAAATTTTTTTTTGAATGCTCCAAATTTACTAACGAAAGCAATTGACATTTTTTTAATTATTTATAAAAGGATATTACACGTATAGTATACTATTTTTCGACTCTTTTTTCATATAAAATTAAACATTTTATGCAAATTAATAAAGGTTTATGAAAAAAATTCCCGTGCCTATTCATAAATGTAGATTTCTATTCATGAAATTAATTTAGAGAAAACACTGTTTAATTTGGCAAATAAGTTAAGAAACTACTCTCTGTTTTCTATCATATTTTAGAAATTTATATTGTTTAAAAGTATATATTGTTTTAAGAATATTAAAAATTATTAATTAATTAATTATTTTCAATTTTACCGTTATATTTATAAATACAATAGCTATTTTTTTTCAATTTTCAATAACTCATCTTTATCGTCACCTCCCTCTTTGTATCTCTTAACTTTAGTGACACATTAATAAAGAGAGTATTTATTGAGATTGGAGTAATTAGACGAGACAAAAAGGAAATTCAATTATATTACGAAATAATTTATTATAATTTAAGTGATTTGATTATTATTTTTAATTATTCTGTAAAAACTTCAAACGATCAGAGAAATTACTCAAAGTAAATAAAAAATCATAATGAACATACTCATTTTTTCTAATTGTTGTTTATTTTTAAACTACTTATTTAATCAAGTAAAAGATGGCTTAACTATAATTCTTTTTACTCTCAACTTTGCAAAAAGTTGAAGTTCAACATTCGTTTTTCAAAATTTAGTTGCAATTATACCTTAAAATTAAATTAGGATAAGAGTTAGCGATGATTTAATAATTAAAGGTAGAGGTTATCGTCTAAATTTGTGTTTTTCCCTTATAATTTTATGCCTCTCTCTCTTTCCTCCATATTCTTCTCTATTCTTTTTTTATTTCATCATAATCTAAACCACCATAAGTGACAACTACGAAAGGACTCTAATGGGGCGTGGTAGCAACAGTTGCAGCAGCTACGTGGTGGCTCTTTTGTTCCTACCACTAACGACTCTTTAAACGCCATTCTCTTATACCCATAAAATCAAATCCCAAAAGAACATCATCACCATTCCTTCTCTTAATCATTTTTCCAAGATAACTTTTCATTGCAATTAATAGATTCAAAACCCTAATTTTCCAAAAATTCAAAATTATAAATTCCCAAAATCAAGATTGGAGGCCATTGACTATCATTTTTGCATAGGTATCGAGCCTATTAAGAATGACATCGAGCTTGGAGACAAGCTTGAAGTGAGCTGATCTACTCGGTTTTCGTTCAAATTGCATTCTTGGTATAGATTTGATTGGTTATCTATTCAAAGTTTTATTTTTGAACATACACTTAATATTTTACACCAAAAGGCCTTTTGTTGGTCTAGGGAATCTACATATTCAAATGCAGCATTTGTCCCTCATGTTTATTGAACGTTAGATTTGCTTAAGAGGGTTATGTGCATCCCCTTCAGAGATTTAATATTCTCGTTGAAATTTTTCTTATCTAGTAAGGATCGACTGTAATACTATTTATAACATTTTAATTTGTCTCGAAATATTATTATTATTTATTTTAGTAGATTTAATAGGTGATTGTCTCATGGTTTTGTTTTAGAGCAGAAATTCAATGCTCAATAAGAAATAACTAAATTTTTTTATATAAGATTGTGATTTTTTTTTATTTGGCTCCTTTAAATTTGAAAAAAAAAAAAAGACTCCTAACTTGGTGAAGAGAAATGAAATTTGTTATTAGTTCAGTTTAGTTTGGACCGTTTTCTGTTAAGAACCAAAGAAAGGCCTAAGCCGGTTTAGTCAAACTCAAACATTTGCGATTTAGGCGGAATAGAGACATATCGAGGGGTAGTTTAGCAAAAAAAAAAGAAAAGTGACATCATCGAATCTTGTGATCCTACGGATAAAATGCAGATATTATCGTACAACAAACAGGAGAGAAGAGAAAAGGACGAATCCTGACCATTGGCTGATGGAATAGCGGGTCCCAAAAGGCATGATGGGACTTGACGGTGAACCGCTGCTTACCTTTTTATTGGTCACTGTCAGATTGTACGGTGTAGAAACGGCACACGCAATAAATTACCCTCTCGTTCATCACTGGCAGTGAGTGAGTGGCATAAATGTAAATAAGCAGGTTGTAAGTGAAAAAGGTTGTCATATTATAAAGTGGATAATATGTCAGTCTCTCTCCCCCTCTGT